CTTTAGGCAATGTACTGGACTACAGTTACATCAAGTTAAAGGTTTAAACAGGTACACTACCATTTTCATCAAATATGGTAAATAGTTTCTCCACCTATGGAAAATAATTGTATTTATTGAAATGTTTTACTTAAATTATCTTTCCTTTTATGTCACCATTACATTATGTCAGCGCATACAGAGACATTATTTTACATAGCAAGGAATGCAGTTTAAATCCACCTGTTTTATATATACAGGATCAGAGTCTATTTTAACAAGAATCTTCACAGGCATGTTTTGGGGAGCTCTGAGACTTGTTTAAACTTTTTGCAAAGGAGGATTATATGTGTCCTTTAAATTCGCCTGTGCATATATATACATATACATATATATATATATATATATATATATATATATGTATATGTGTATAAATGTAAATTAATATACTCTTGTTTTTGCTCCAACTTGTAATGAGTTTAAATTTGTTTAAATTTGTGTTAGTGAGCACTTTTATCCATCCACCTGACAGGTGTGGCATATCAAGATGCTGATTAAACAGCATGATTCCTGCACAGGTGTGCATAGGCTGCTTACGATAAAAGGCGGCTCAAATGTTTATCAGGTTTTTCACTGGCCTGTCGATAGTGAAGAAGGACAGGAAATCTCAGTTTTTGGAGAAAAGTGGGGGATGACATGCAACAAACTTCTAGGCTCAGACTTAAATCTGGGATCTTAAACTTTGAAAATGTGGCTCACATTCTAACTGCTGAGCTCAACTGCTGCCTCGATGTTCCCCTCACAAAGCAATTATTAGAAACAAATATTACATTTACAATAATATCTTTGGATACTGCTTTTATTGACTCCCAGAGAAACTGCAGTTAACGTAACTTTTGTTTTGGCATTATAACTAAAGCTCTCATTACTTTTCTAAAGGGGAGGAATCAATTGACTTTAATTGTTGTGTCAGGTATGGCTGACATGACAGTGTTGGGCTTTTACTCTTTTCAAGAAATGTTCATTTCTGATGAGCACAGGTTGGATCAGAACTATTGCACTTGAGATGTCTATGCTATACAACAAGATGCAAAATAGAGCATTTCATTACAATCTTGATCTGACCTTCTGGACATGCATATGACTGGTACAAAAAACATGTTTAGAAAACTTTATAAACAGAAGTGTACATACAGTACATCCTGTTTGACATGAGTCTGAAGCAGCATGTCAGGCTGTCAATGTTGTTCTTCAGGTTTGGTTCAAAATAAGTAGTTGCACTGTATATGATATTATTGCATAAATCACAATATCAAACATATACATGTGTTTGTACCTGTTCAGTGTGTTTGTCTCTGACAACATGCTAGCATTAAAGGAGAAATCCTGGTGTTTTTTAACCTGGACACTGTCTTTATATTTTGGAGTTTGGTCCATTAGATTGCTTCATCTCACAGCTGCAGGCTGACAGGCTATAAGAGCTGCAACGTATCTGTCGGGATAAATGCTCTGATCAAATTAAGTCCACTGAAAGTTTTGTTTATTACAGGCTCAGATTGTTATTCTAAGTCTCTGACAACATTACGGAAATGATTCCTACAGAAACAGAGTATTTTTAAGGTACGATCCTTTTTTTCAAAATCTAGAAACAACTGTTCCCTTGGAGCCACCTTAAGAGCCACCGTGCTTCCCTTTAGAGACATTGTAGAATATTTCTTGTTGTGTTTAGTGCATTTGGGTCCAAGCTCACCTTTTACAACACCAAAGTCACACAGCATTACAAACTAACTAACCAGGAGTTGAGCTTCTCCCATGTTCTGTATGGTCTTATTGTTTTTAGTCAATGGAGTCCTGTAGCTTTATGGGCAGTGTAGCAGTCGTTTCTAATTCTTTTTAACAAAAGGTCTGTCTCTATCGGGGTTCATTCCATGTTCTTGTAAGACAGTTTATGAACAATCTGAGCCTGTCCTCTGCAAAATAATAAATAAATGTGAAAACAGGGCTCAGAATTCCCCGTGCAGTGATGAAGACTGAAATGGTTCTTGTATGTACGCCCAATGTTTGAAGCCATGTTTTAGTCGTTACTCCTCCCAACACAAAATACTCTCAAGCAGCTCATTTTACTAATTGAACCCTTAGATCATTATCAAAGCACTATTTACCTCAGTGCAATATTTTAATTAGATTATAGTCTCTATTTAACCCATCATGGACTCTTTGAAGCTCTGTGTTTTTAGTGTTAAGTCCTCAGATGCACCGTTGGAAACAAATGACTGAGCCCTTTTTCATTTAATGAGAAACGCTGCCCATCCAGGCTGAGTCCTTTGCATCTTTTTTAGGTCCCACCTACTCGTTTTTTTGCCATTGAAATCCAGTTAATTGAAGGAGTCTTTCACCGCCATACATGAAGGAGGGCAAATTAGCATCCCTTTTTGCCCATTGGAAAGCCAAGGCAGACATAGCTGCTTTGATGTGAGAAGCACGCTTTCAGTAGGCGGCAGGCCTCCTGAAAATGAGCTGATGGCCCTGCTATTAGGTCCAAATGCAGATGCGTCCATGTGTTGCAAAACGCTTAATCTTTTAATTGATCACCTTCTGCTTGGCCTATTCTCCACATAGTGTTTCTCCCCTCTGCCTGTTAATCACAATCACATTTTGATGACATGAACAGCCTTTCAACAGGAAGGAAAGGATGGCTAATCTAGTGCCAATGACAAGAGAAAACAGCATGTTATTGAGCTAATGCCCTGTGAGAGATGCAGCTTGTTTTAAGAGTTTGAAATGTGTGTTTATACAATTTATAATCAAGAACAATACTTAACTCACCCTCAACATCTACTGTTGCAACGGCAATAAATAAACAAAATAAAGATTCACTAAAACCCTGTCATGACTCTTTACTAAACCTGTTTCTTTAGTCTGACATTCTGCCTGTCTATGCACCGTGAAAGCATAATCTCATGTGTGGCAAAGTGGATGAAATGCCAATCATCATGCTGGACATCTGTGATAGATAAATGCTATTTTTTTTAATTCTGCATTTTGGCCTTTTTAAAAGCAATTTAACGAAAACTGTGAAAACGTGCAAAACTATTGCAATGAATTAAATGAATTTTTGTACCACGGATAAACAAAATCCTTTACTGCTTGAGTCCTTATTTAAGACAAGAGGACAGAACCTTTTCATGGGGTTTGATTCTTTAAATATTCACTCACATTAAAAATAAAAAATGTGCTGAGATATTTTCATTTTCACTTTTTTGATGTATTTTTTGTTGGTTGTTCTCACTCTCAGTTACACACCAGAAGATTGTCTGGTTAATGTCCCAAATTAAATGTGTTTGAATGTATCAAACATGGGATTTTTATGAAATACACTGAATTTTCAGGGTCATTTCAGGGTCCCTGAACACATGGTTAATGCAAGTGCCTGACGTGTATATTTTGGCTCATGGATTTCTCTTGTTCTTGGCTGAAATTATTTTTTTCCCCTGGTGAGTATATAGTACTGGTGACCAGTAAAGTCCCATATTAAAAATAAATAAAACAGATTGTGACTTCAGATATTATTCCAACCTTGACATTGGACTGTTGTTATAGCTGCCAAGCAAAAAAAAAATTGTTCAAATTTTCCTAAAATGATTTATCTTGAAGTCAGAACCTGTAAATATTTCTGTCTGACTTGTGGTTTAATGCTAATATATACTTGAGAACATCAAAAAGGGCTTACAGCTGTCAATCAACCAGAGACAAACTGCTACTGCACGTGCACTGGTTGATACATCAAATGTTTTAATAGGAAAATCGAATCAATGTTGTCATCTCTCCCACTTTCCTCTTTTTCAGTCAAAAACTGACAATACAAAAAAAGCAAGTTAATTTCCTGTCCTTTTTTAATATCATTTGATTAGACAATTTGAAACGACACAGCTGTTGTATTTCATTGACTATCATGTAATGATCATTTAACTATCGGTCCTGAAAGCGACTTGACGTTCACTTATTATTATTATTATTATTATTATAGAAATGATCACTCTTATACAGATCATGCTATTTGTGTTGTTAGTGTGTGTTAAAGCACAGCAGGCTCCGTGCAGGCCGCCCAGCAGAGAACAAGCAGCTCCACGCTGTGCACACTGCTTCTTAATGTTAGAGAACAACATGCAGCTTTAACAAGTCTGATGGACAGAGGAAACCGGAAAAAAAAAGAACATTTTTAAATAAAATAATTTGAAAAAACAAACAGAGCCGATGGCAGGTTCATTATTTATATTCTTTACATAATGTATATTTACAGACATATATATATATATATATGCATGGCATTTAAAAACAGTGCCTTTTACTAAAAAATGATTTAAAGAATATTGACAAACCTAAAATAAAATATCCAAAGAAGCTGATAAAAACAAGAAATAGTCGAAGTGCAAAACGATGGGGCAGTGTGACATGTTACATGTTATACGAAGAAGAGAGCCCACGGTTAACTTATGGAAAATGTAGGCTACAGATTTTCCGTCTGTTTTTCGTGGAAGCCATTAGAAGATATGCCTCTGTACATTTCATTATAGACTAGGCTACTCCGTTTGCCCTTGATAAGGAGTTAATTTCTTTATTATTTTTTCAAGTTCTCAGAAATTAACTCCTAATAACGGGGAAACCCGGCGCTGTTATCTCGAGATAAAAAAGTGGACATCTCGAGAAACAATCGGAAAGAGCCTAATTGTTATCACGGAAAAAAAGTAGGCTAAAATAAAATATATGGATATATGTCTGCTTAGGGCTTCCATAGTTAATACAAAAACATAGGCCTAAGTATTTTTCGATTAACAAATGGCTATAGTTCAAGTGATAATATCAATATTCGATTGATAATAATAATAGGCTAATAGCCTAAAAACAATAATGATAATAATAATAATGATGATGATAATAATAATGATAATAATAATAATAATAATAATAATAATAATAATAATAATGATAATAATAATAATAATGGAGCAGTAATCTTCAGACCTCACTACACGAACATTCTGGTATAAGCTACATTGAGAGAAGAGTCAGTTATATAAAAAAAATGGGTCCATTATGCGTGTTTAAATTATTATTAAAACAATATTGTAATATTTCATTTGTGTAATTAAAGTTTAAAATACAGTTCATATACAGGATATTACAGAGTGAACGCTGCTGATTGAACAGCTCTGCAGCCTACTATAGAAGGTGATCCGGGGAACAAACGTCATCCTCGATGTCCACGTCGTCGTCGTTCTCGTCCATCATGAAAGCGTCCGGCTGCAGTCCGTGTTGTGTGAGCTCCTCTGCTCCGCTCTTACTGTCGGTCAGCTCGCTCTCACTCGAGTTGTCCGCGGATCTGTCCAGCTCCCCGCCGGGGGTCTTCCGCTCGTCCTGCGCCTTCCTCAGCTGCTTCTTGTGCTTCATCCGCCGATTTTGAAACCACGTTTTTACCTGCAGGGGAAGGTTGGAAGAAGAGGTGGATTATAGAAAAATATTCTTCATTTTGGTTATTTTTAATTCTGCCTGTAGGCCTTACCTAATAAAAAAAAATAGGATACCGGATTTTAATTATTTAACTGAGGGTTTTCAAATAGTCCCAGACATTTAATAACCCAGGCTAATAATTTAGACCAAAAGAACTGAAGGTCAAACTATAGGCTACCCTAAAGAAATTAAGCCGGTTCTTATAAAATAACACAACGTTTGCTCTTAAATATATTGACCTATAACAAAGTGGAAGCGCTGCTGTATAGGCCTACTTAAATGTATTTTCTTATTTTTCATTTTCATTTTGTGATTCTGTGTTTTGATTGTTTGAAACTCCTTTTGGCTATAAAAGAATGAGCAAAGACCTAGAACACCACACAAACACATCCTGCTTCTTATGACAGTAAAATGATGCTATCAGGTGTGTGTTTATATATCTGTGTGTGTGTGTGTGTGTGTGTGTGTGTGTGTGTGTGTGTGTGTGTACCTGTGTCTCGGACAAACTGAGCGCCGTGGCCAGCTCCACTCTCTCGGGGGTGGACAGGTACCGCTGGACCTCAAACCTCTTCTCCAGGCCGGACAGCTGCGAGTCGGAGAACACCGTCCGGGCCTTCCTGCGCCGGCAGTGCTTCCCTGGTAACTCTGAGTGGTGCTGGAACAGGGCCGGCATCTGCATCCCTGCAGACACACAACACGCTTAACAAATTGTAACTACGTGAAAAGACCCGGATCAACACGTGAAAACTTCAAATGCAACATCAGAATTTCACTCAAATGAAAATGGCAGGCTTATATTTCATGAATAACTTCTCAGGACATCAAGACTAACTTTTGGAAAGGTATGCTTTTAATGAATACATTTTAAAGTTATTATCAATTTAAGGTTAACATTTTAGTGAGTTTAAAGGAGAACTGATTAGTTCTGTGAAAAGTGTAGCCTTTTACTTAAAGTCCTATTTTTCTTTTAACCATGTCCACATGTTGTTTCTTAACGGGATTCATTTCACATCATTCACTCCAGATGTCCTCATCATGTCAAATAGGCCTCTTGTGCTATCAGAAAAGTAGATTACATTTGATGGACTCCAGCATTATAATTGGTCCTATAATAAAAGTCAGAATGCACCTGTTCCTTCATGCCTCTCCAACGTGCATGCTCACCTGATGTGAAGAAGTACTGGTGGTGCTCCGGCTTATGGAGCGGGTGGTGCGGATGCGGGGCAAGTATCGGGGTGGGCATCAGAGGGTATCCGTACTCCAGGAGGGGGACGCGGGAGGCCAGGGAGCCGCAGAAGGGAGAGGGGAGGACCTCTCTCAGAGGCTTGGGTTTGTGCAACAAGATGTCCTCAATAAAAAACGACGTGGACCTCTGCACGGGCGCCGCGGACGAGTAGTTGATACTCATGGTGACTGTTTGTGTCTGTTGGTTTCCACGTGCATCAGTGTGTGCCTCCTCGCGCAGCTCTGACGGTTTGATCAGTGTGTGTGACGGTGTGTGTGTGTGTGTGTGTGTGAGCAGGGAGTGACACACGGCCTATATGTCGGGTATTAGATGACAGCAGGAGGGAACACTTACGACAAGTATTTATTCAGACAGAGGGGCGGATTTGGGCAACTGATTTGCGCATCAGCCAATAGGAGCTGTGTTTGGGCGGTACTTGGTTGTGATTGGCCAACACGTGTCTAGCCCGAATCATCATTCGTTTTATAGCGACTGAAAATCAGGGCGCGTGGAAGTGCTGATGTTGTCGCTTAGCAACCATGCTGTTTTTTGTAGGCTTCGCGAGCATCAAATGACCTCGTGGAAGAATTATTCTTTGCTGATCTAAATGACAGAACCGATATTTTAAATATTGCATTCAAATTCAATGTCGTCATGTAGCAAAGAGAGAGACTATCTACTCAATTCAGGTTAGCCTATTTAGGCCTCATTATTTTTACCTGCACGTTTCAGGAACAACTTTTCTAAAATATTTAAAAGATTTATAACAGTGATTGCAACATCACAAAATCTTTTCTTCCCTCCAATCTCGATGGTTCAAAGTGAAACATGCAGGCTGAATGGTAAAATCAAGGGGAACTTTGTATTATTATTTTATTATTATTAGGACTATTGTCATTTTAGCAGAATTAAAACACGACTAAATAACCAAATGCAGTCTGTGTGCATACTGCAAACAAAAAATGGAGATCCAACAAAATGTTCATGTTTTGACGTTTCACTATTACTTTTAGAAAGTGTTTTTTCATCCATGGATATATTGGTGCGCAAAACAATTTGTAAATGTTCCTTCCTTTGTCTTTCTAGTTGATGCACTGTGTTTGCACATTATAATGTTGGACATCTTTGTTTAGGTTTTTTTCACCCACAATTTATTTTGCCTAATTCTTTTACATTAATGTGACATATTAGATCCATGCACCTCTGGGACTTTCCCATTCATTCGTTTCTTTGACGTGCACGCCGGGGAGGGACTTAAGAACAAAACTTTAAATGTACTTTTGTTGAAAATTAAACCCGCCACCAGTGTTTTATCTGTGTAATTCACTTGGATAACTTCTGAACTCTTCCTTCATGATAGTATTTCTGAATCAAGTGCTGCAGCCTGTGTCACTGGAGGATTGTTCTGCTGCGGCTCTGTCTAGTAATTCCGCCCAAATTGGCTGTAATTGTCGGTATTAAAATCTGGAAGAGTACAAGTGCCGCTCCTGTGCCCATTTGCTGAAGAAAGCAGTGCGCTGTAATTTGTTGATATGGTGTTGTCATCACATTTCCAATCAGGCCGTTTAATGTGAAAGTGTCTTAATGTAGGCAGAATTCACGCTGCAATGCTATTAGGCAATTAGGGGAGATGTTAGAGCGGAAGTTGTAATCCTGGGGCTGCAGGACAGGATTTCCATCTGATCAGATGGACGGAGAACAAATTAATTAGTGGGAATAAGTTACGCTGGGAGGAGAGGGGAGAGCGTGCAACATGTAAATCATCACATTTGAATGGTTGTAAATCAAACATTTTTTGGCACTTTAAGGACCGGACAGTGAGACGACCTCTAAATAATCTCATCCGTTAAAAGAGCTGCTAAAAAAATTGCACTTAAAAAAGTCTCAAAATCTAAAAATCCATAAATGTTATTGGATAAACAGAAAAGGAAACCGGAGCATGAATTCATGTTATACATGAATCCATGTTATATGTTATATTATGTTATATTATGTTATATGTCATTTAAAGGCTGTTTCCGTTGCGCGCACTGGTTGGAAAAGTAATCCACGAGGCCGTGTTAATATATTTTTCCAGCAGGTTATTGAGGAAAAACATAAACCTAATTTAAATAATATCGTTTAATTGTTATTGTGAAAGGCAATATCAATCATAGCGGCGTATTTGAAGTATCTAAAAATATAAATTCTGGTTGGTGTTTTTTGTTTTGGATTTTGAAAATTTCAAAAAATCAGAGAATCGAAAAAGTACCTTGTACTGTTGTTATCTTTCATCACTACACTGAGTAACCCTGTCAGACATGGTCGGAGCAGGTGGAAGTATCCCTGCAGTCTCAGCTTTGTGTCATTCCCTTTGCGCAGCGCACCGGGATAACAAGTTGCTTTTAGGGGGGAATTAGAAAGTAAATGAAACAAATGGCGATGAAATGGTCTTAAGGAGCCGCTCCTGAGGCGCAGTTAAGCTGCTTTCTGCGGACATTTAATTAAGTTAAAATTCGAGCGGGTCTGGCAGTGCGTCACTCCGTTAAGTGGCACGTTTGGATAAGAGGTTTGCAGTCTTAATACCTGCAGTTTTTAGAGCAGCCGTGCAGCTTATGGGTAGCACCAGAGCAAAGCAATAATGACAAGTTTTTTTTTTCTGGGGAAAAAGAGCATCTACACTTCTGTTCTTTAAATAAACAATTATTAATATACTATAAATCGATGCTTTCAGTTTGTCTATAGAAAATAAAATATCTCTACCCATGTAGTTTATCATCATAAAGAGATCAGAGAAGCTGTGTTAAAAATTAAATATAGGCATTGTCCTTCAAGCTTGCCAGTGCTTTCACATGGTGCCAGATTAATGACATATAGGCCTAATGGGTTTAAAATGATTAAACACTATAACAATGGTTAAATATGCTAAGTAAATGTGTAAAGGGTGTGAGGTTTAAAAAAGAAGAGTCATATTTCCACAGTCTTTTATTGAAATCACTTAAACTTTCCAGTCCATGCATGGTTCAGAGGTATGAGCGGGGGCTGTACTTTGTGCAGCCATGTTGATGGTGGATAGTTTAGGATGCAGCTCCCATGGTTATAGCTCACAGGTTAGTCCTGGATGATGGTTCAAGTCTTCTAATGAGAGTTAGCATTTCTGGGGCATTCATGCATCCGATAGGCACAAAAATAGAAAATTCCTGTAAAGACAGAAGGACAGGGGAGGTCTGCTATCAGGGGATTTTAACAAGATCATATAAAAGCTCTACTATTTACATTCACAATAGATGGTATTTTTTGTGGATAATTGAAGCTTGTGTTCCACCTCCCCGGTGGATTGTTTCTATCTTTTTATATGAACCACATGTAGTCTTATTTCAGACCATGTTCAATCCTACAAGAGTACATTATTTATTCAAAAAGAAAAACTCTTTTGCATCATTGTTTGATGACAAAATAAAATGTAGAGTTTTACATTCATTCTATGTCATTCTGTAGGAGCAGGATGCAGGGCGATTCAGAGGCAAGGTGTCACTCCAAACATCTCTGACTGATGATGTCACATCATTGATCATGCTGCTGGACTATGCAGCTCATAATGTGCAATGACATAGTTTTGATTTCATTTATCATACTTGTAGTATAAAATAAGGGCTGCAGGTTCTATGCATGGCAACATGTGATGTAAACAAAACTATTTCAACACATGATATAATGTAAAATTAATCATAGAAGTGAATTTTAGGGCCTGTTGCTCAGAATGACTTCATAAGATATTTTCTCCAAGCCTTTTATCTTCACCTCTCTGAGTGCATTATTGTTTATTGAGGAAAGGAACTCGCTCAAGGTTTGAACTTGAAATCAAGTTTAGCAGCGAAAAAGATAACAGCCGAATGTCAGTGAGTGAAACAATCACACAGGAACATCTGCTACTAAAAAAATACATACAAATTTGTTTGTATAACTGATTTCTTGGTTCTTTGCCATCCACATGGGTCCATTTTATTTGCACAAAAAGTTCAACTCAAGATAACAAATACCTCCAAACTCCATTTGATCTGCAGAGTCCCTCTGCACCTTTAAGGAAAAGCTAAAGACCCAGTTCTTTCATGAATACCTACTAACTTAATGATGATGGTCTCCATATAATTGATGATGATGATGGTAATGACGATGGTTTTTGTTTGATAACGACGACTTAAAAGATGGTTTCTATACTGATTAGAGCTCTCAAGAACTGCCATCAATGTTGTGCTTTCCTTCTGGTCACTTCCTGTCAGCACCTGTGTGTCCAGTCAGACTCAAAGCTGATCATTTGCTCTTACTGACATTGTTCCCTTTTTTCTAGATCCTTGCTTGTGTTGTTCTTACTCTCTGATGTACGTCGCTTTGGATAAAAGCATCTGCTAAGTCAATTGTAGAATTGTAGAATTTAGTTCTTCCTGAGTTGAAAAAAATGTCCTTAAATCTTTGTCTCTTCACTCAATAACTTCATTCATTTAGCCATTTTCACACATTGGCTCCTGAAAATGAATTGCCAAGTGTATAGAGGTTGCAGCACCTTGTATAAGATAAAACCTGATGCAGCTCAGTTTGTTGGTTTGCATGTTTACCTGAAAAGAAGGTGAGAACCACTGACACCCAGCCAATGATATAGGACCAGGAGAACCTCCAGTTTCCATAGCGTTTCCCGTAGTAGTTAATAGTCACACCAGTGTACACTGCCATCGCTAGAAACACTAAAAAGCCTAAGAGAGAAAAAAAGAAACAAATATTTTCAGGAAAAATGTCCATAAAGCTTGTATATACCCTGACAGATGGAGAATTAAGTAATGCTTTATCTGGTAGGCTAAAGAATCCAACAAAAAGTCAATTACAAACACTGACTTAAGGCTCCTGTGAGGAGTTTTTAGTTGGTTATGAAACACTGAAATTAAAACTGTTGCTTCTTTATGAGCAACAAAAGCCAACAGGACCATCGGTATAAAGACTGATTATTTCTATAAGAAGTTATTTTAAAGGTCTAAACTGCAGTCAGGGGGGTAGGTGTAAGACAACGTGATTAACAGCACCCTGCAGAAAAAGCCCCTTTTGGTTACATTGTACACAGCAAACATACATTTGACTGTTAAAAGGAAGCAGGATGACATTTTTGGTTAAAAACACTATCCACACATGTTCAGAACTAAAGAGATGAGAGGTACTTCTTTGTCCACAGGGTGCGCCAGAATGAACACAAATCTAATTCTTCACAGGAGCTTTAAGGCCGCTATAAATTAAGCAAAATAAAGCTTT